GGGCCTAGGTGTGATGTGCAGTAAGACAAAGGTTATAAAGCAGAAAAAAATCAGAAATCATGTTTACATACCATGTGACTCATTGCAAAGATTGCTTTTGTTCATTAATAACACAGCATGTAATTACTGCATCTACAAATAAGTTAATGTTAAAATTTTTAAACTAAAATTAAATTCAAGGACAGATTGTCTTTAAAGACAGAAAGACCATTTCTAGTCCACAGTAACTCGTCAACCATTAGAGGTCCCTGATTTCTCTTGTCAGTAAAAAATGGATAGTTTGTTCTAAATTTGATTCCCTGATTAGTATGTCTTAGTGGCAGGTTCATTTCATTTCTAAACAGTTTACAATGGTAAGAAATGACTCTTCAAGTACTGAATAACCTAGTTCTAAAGACCTGTACTTCTCCCCTTTCCTAACATTGCTACTGCATTTTTAATCCTAGTATAAAAAACAACTGTCCATACATATAATTTCTGTAAATATTACAAATATGAATTAGTATACTTGCAATATATGTCAGCAGTAATGTAGTAATGTCAGCCCCTCATAACTTGAAAACAACTTCCCATTTGACTCAGAGAAAATAAAAAAAGAAACCATCTTTTCCCCTCCTCTTTTTTTTTTGGCAATTGGGGTTAAGTGACTTGCCCAGGTCACACGGCTAGTAAGTGTCAAGTGTTTGGTCTGAGGCCAGATTTGAACTCAGGTCCTCCGGACTTCAGGGCTGGTGCTCCATCCACTGTGCCACTTAGTTGCCTCCCCTCCTCTGTCTTACAGAAAACAAAAACAACCCAAACCTACCTCTAAGACAAATGTCCGATAAAAACCAGTTTGACCTAAGACTTTCTGCTCATTATCAGTGATGTGACCGGAATAATTAAATTGTTTGCATTATTCAGAAAGTTATTGACTATATCGGTTTTCTTCCAGCGCTTTAAAGAACATTAAAGTTTACTCAGGTATAACGTGGAAAATGGCCAGTGGGTGTGGAGATAGACGTCTGTCTTCATATTCATCAGTACATGTTGAGTATTCATCTTCCTCCATCACTGCACATTCAGAATGATTGGTTTCCATTCAGGTTGTAGTAACCTTGAATGTTGGACACACCATATGAAACCTGGGAATGTTGGCATTACATGTCTTGCCCTCACTGTAAAGTAGATGGATGCTGGAGACATAGAGGCAGTGATACAACTGGTGTACTCATGCACCCAAAAAGGGCTCCTGATTGGAAACTCTTCAACCACAATAGGTCCATGAACTTCTTCAATTTCACCTTTAGCATTTGATATTCTCCAAGATCAGCTGTCTAACCGACAAGACTTTCCAGAAGTGCAACTTTTAACTTCTCCATTCTCATTTAGTAAGTGAAATAGTGAGGCAGCTTGCCTAGAACTAAGCTCTGGCAGAAACGATGTGGTGCTGACACTGAGATATCTCCAGTTGTTGCTAGCCACCTCCTTATCATGAACTTATTTGAAAATCTGGTCTCTGATGATAGGGTAGCCCCCATCCATTACAGCATTGTATACCTAAGAGGTAAATCAGGCTAAGTAAGAAGGATCTGTAATAAACATGTTAGTTGCAGATGGATTCCAAGCCAACTGGTCTGGATACTCATAGATTTCAGACTGATTTAGGCCCTCTACGCTTTCCAGTGCTACAGTTTGACTCAAACCAGTGTATATGCAAAATTTTAGAGGAACACACTGCTTCAGTTTTTGCCTCTGTTGGAAACTACCAGTAGCTATATCAATATCTAGCAAATCCTCTGAGCAATATTGAGTTGATAATGCCCCTCAACCCAGGAACCACTAACTTCTGTCCATTGTGAATCCACAAGGAACATGGATAGTCATTGGGAAGCTTATACCCTGTCTTGAGTTCCACCACACCTAGCTCATGCTCGTCCAAACTGCCTTTCATAAATCCAATCATCTATGGACACCTTTGTCCCCAGCATCTCTCAAGTTCATCTCAGGCTTTTCTATGAGTTAAGTGATGTTGAATAGATTCTTCTAGGTCAGAATAAGCCTATATAAAGACTTCCAACTTTTGTTCTTCAACGTTTTCTCTGTCTCTCATAAAAGCCAATGTTTTTTTTCAGTGTCTTCTTCATAGAGAATCATGGTTTGATAGTCAGTTGAATCTTCATCTGATATAACAGTAACTGCCAAGGTCCCAATGGTCCAGTAAAGAGAAGATAAACAGAAGGGGATGGGTGGGGCAGCAGTTCTAGGCTCAGCTCCAGCTCTTCTATGACATTTGTCAATGCAGCATTGACACTGCTGTCTGTCCTAGGGTAAGGGGTAGATTAGCCCCCAAGTGCAGAGGGAAAAACTAAGATGAAAGGTTTCAGCTATCCAAGGTCACAAAGTAGTAAATCCAGGTCATCTGGCTGGTTGTGTGATGCACTTTCCACTAAATGACATGCTCCCTAATGCAATAGTAGCACTGAGCTTGAATTCAGAGAAGACCTGAATTAAAATCCCTTGAGCCTAGTAGGCATAGGGGAAAGGGATGGTAATAAGCATTTATATAGGACTTACTGTGAGCAAGGCACTGTGTTAAGCACTTTACAAATATTATCTCTTTGATCCTCATAATAAGGATAATATTCTCCATTTTTACAGACAGGGAAACTGAGGCAAACAGTGACTTCAATGACTCGCTCAGAGTCTCATAGCTAGTAAATGTTTGAGGCCAAATTTGAATATGGAGCTTTTTGACTCCAGGCCTAGCCCTCTATCTACTGCACCATCTAGCTCCCCACATCTTGCGTTAAGATCAGGAAAGTATCTGTAACCCTTAGAGGATGGGAATAATTACTGTTGTTAATCGACTTACATTTTATCACTTCAGAAGAAGGGATGATAGAGCACGTCACTTAGCCCACTCTGGAGTTCTGGTCTTCCCTAAGAAAGACTTTTGATGAGGTCTAGCGTTTCAATATAATCTAACATTTCAGGTACACAGACTTGGGCTACCTCTGTGTCACTTCCAACTGTGATTTCTCTTAACTGGGTGCTTCCCTTTTTGACTACATGCAGGCCTAGTTAGGGTCACTGTTGAACAAGAAGTTTGAATTATTTCATTACCAGAAACAGCACATCCTAAGTGTATAGAAAAAGGGATGTTATACTCCTTGTCCCTCCGCCCACTCAGCTTATACAGGCACCCTAAGTGTTAATGAGGTGTTAAACTAAATATGAAGATACCTTGAGCCCTGATTCCTTTAGGATAGAGGTGTGAGTGATTTCAGATCACCTGGGATCAGATGATGTAGGACAGGGTATAAACACCTTTCTCTGACGGAATTTAAGGGAGCAAACATATTACCCATACTCCTGGTGGGAGGTGGTGGGGGACTTTAAATAGTAAAACAGCCCTGGTAAGGGGAAAGTAATTATAATCCATGATCTGATTATGCAGGAAATCCCTGCAAGGAATAGGGGAAAGGCATTTCTCTCTCATCTCCCCATCAGTTATGGCATCTCAGCAGTACCTTGCCCAGAGAAAGTCACTCTGATCCAGAGTTCAGTGGTTCTAGAAAATTCATGGCATAATGGAGAGAGAAAAGATACACATTCTAGATTGCTGCCTAAGATAGACAACAGCTTCAATGAGTGTGACCCCTGGCAGCAAAGAAGAGAGTTGGGCTGTGGAGAGGAGCAGACCCTGGAAATCCAGCTGAGCAATCCATCCAAAGATATTGATGCATTTAAGGGGACAAGTATGAGGATTCCACAAAACGAGAAAGGACAGACTTCCAGACCCTGTCATACAGGAGTTGTGAATTGCCTTTGTCATCCATTTATCCTACACTTGTGCCTCAGTTTGAGCTCTTTCATCTTAAAGATACTTTGTACATTTGTGGAAGAGTATGCCCCAGGTTTGTGAGGAAAATGTTCCATAGCTAGTGTTTTTGCTTTTCCATCTTAACGGATGCCTTTGCTAAAAGCTAATTGTGTCTATTGGCTGATGGTTAAAGGAAAGACACTGATGGGGGATAGGGGGGTCCTGATCTATAGTAACAGGGGTCACTACCACTAAGCACCCTAGAACCTGAAATGGAAGTTGCCTCTTTGGGGACCCAGCCTGTGAAAATAAGTATAACTTGGGGAAGTAACCCAGAGGGTCAGGAGGGGGTCATAACAGTTGGGTTCTTTGACTTCCCTTCCTGTCACTCCCTCTCCCCAGAGATGCAAACTCTCACCAGAGATTGAGTAAAGTGAGCCTTTGAGGGGAGAACATTCACCTGGAAAAGCCCCTCTCTCATTGGCTATAAACTGGCTGTAGATCAATCCCATTCTGTTTTCTGATGCCCCAAGACAATTCTAAATGACTACCCAGACATAATTTTGGCCTAGCTAGACCAGAATACTCTTTCCAGCTTTTGGCAGTATGGTACAATGAAAAGGACTTGAAATCCCCAAATCCAAAGGATCTGGAATTGGATGAGACCTGGATTCTCAATTCATGGCTCTGACATTTAATAGTTACATAACCCTGGGTAAATAACTTAAAACTTTTTTAACCTATTTCCTCATCTGTAAAATGGGGACCATAGTAATATCACCTTCCCAGGACTGTTGTGAAAAAAAGTGTCCTGTAAACTTTAAATACTCTAATACTTAATGGATTTATAATTTCTTTAGTGTGGATAACACTCTCAAAGAGTGCTGTTAACAACCCCTTCTTATCTCAGTATATGGTCTTCAGGAATATCAACAACAATAAAAATCATCACACAGTGACCAGCTTCTGGTGATCAACCTTTTTAAACTTAGCTTGACAGTTCCTTAGCTGATAAATGCTTCCAGTCTATTGCATGGTCTGTACTTAGTAGCTTTCCAACTTGGAAGGATTTTCACCTTTTTATTTCCATAGCCTTTGGGAACTCAGTTACCCTGACACTATAATTCTATAGTAAAGTAGGGTTTTAATGAAAAGCCCCCCATTTACATTAAGACAAAAAACCAGATTCCTTAGCTTGACTTTCATGGTGATGGGACTTTTATTCAAACATCCTCAATTGATTACAATTTTGATTGTTGTGATCAGTGATCAGTGAAGGATGTGTTTAAGATTTCTACTGAGGTTACTGTGAAATGACATTTGGGTGTAGGAGTAGCGTTATGTCAGGTATGCCTATAGATCCATATTTGTAAGATTTTCCAGATTTAAATGAGAAGACCTAAAATAACTTCCTACCAAAACATCCTTCCTTTTAGCAATTCATCACTTTTATACATTTTCACATATGACTTTGCTTTATGTTTATATGTCTACATGCTTTACCCTCCCTTCTAGGAGGTCAATTCCTTAAGAGTTGGGATCCAGCTTTCTCTTTATCATAGCCTTCAAAGTACCAAGCATAAGGCTTCATAAATAGTAGATCTTCAATATGCCTTTGTTGAATTGAGTGAGATTCATCCAATGGGCTGCATGAAAGAAGTGATTTAAACAGAATATCCTCAGGTCCAGAGTCATGTTGGCATGGTGTCAACAACCCAGGCTAAGAACTGTTAACACTGGGGAAATGCTTCCTGTAGTCCATATTCCGCAGTTTATTATAGACATACATCACCAGACCAGGAAACAGCTCCTGAAAATACTGGGAAAGTTCTCCAATTTTTGACTTCACACTGAAATGAAAAATAATACGTTCAATATGTTTGCTCCAGGGCATTTAGTTCTCCATTTTGACATTTACAAATCTGACAACTCATTCATTCCTCAAGAAAATCTCCTTAAATTTCTGCAACACAGAAACTTTCTAAGTCGCCTCTTAACTCTTTGATCCTCTCAGCAAAGCAGGACTACATCTAGGACTTTTCTTATTTTATAGATAAGAAAGTGGATACTCAGACAAGTTTAAGTAACCTGCTGATGGTCATACACTTAGCAAGTGTTGGAGGTGGGATTCAAACTCAGATCTCTCCTAATTGCAAGTCCTAACTCCACTGAATCATGTTAACCTCTTTGGAGGGACACTAGAAGTGGGACTTTCTCACTTAGAGGGCCAGAGGTGAGGATTGGACTTATAGGATAACAGATTTAGAACTGGAAGGAACTTTGAGGTTATATCATCCCACCATCTGATTTTATGAATGAGGAAAGTGAGGTTTAGGGAGGTGAAGAGACTTTTCTGAACTTTCTTTGAGGCAGCTAGGTGGGGCCACAGTGTATAGAGTGCTGAGCCTGGAGTCAGGATGAGCTGAGTTTAAATCTGACCTCAGACACTTATTAGCCTCAAGACCCTGGGCAAATCATTTAACCTCTCCCTACCTCAAAGTCTTAGTGTAGTTTTAAGCTTTTATATATATACACACATATATGTAAATGTATACATATACATACACACATATATATAATACATAAATATCTGTATGTATTAATGTTTGAAACTACACTAAGACTTTGGTGGTGTACCTACACACTCATACAACACACACACACACACACACACATATGTGTGCTTGTATGTATGTGTCTGTGCGTGCTTAAGTATCTCTCCCAAGACCCAGTTCCACATTGTCAACTGCCCAATGGACATTTCCAAATGGATGCCTATAGGCATTTCAAATTCAGTATGTCCAAAATGGAACTCATCATTTTCCCTTATCCCCAAACCCACCCCTCTTCCCAATTTTTCTGTTCTATCAAGAATCCCACCATTTTCCTGGTAACACAGTCACCACCTTGGAATCATTCCCAACTCTTCATTTTCCCTCATCCTTCATAGCCACTCTTTCCCCCCACATCTTGTCAATACTGCCTCTCATATCCATCCCCTTCTCTCCCCTCTCTACTCACATGATCATCTATGTAATTCGGGACCTCATCACCTCTTGCCTGGAGTATTGTAAAAGCTTCCTTGACTCCAGACTTTCCACTGTCCAATCCTTCATACATACCATGACTAAGGATGTGATAGTCACTTTATTTCTGCCCAGTCAGGCCATATCATGTTCAGTTCTGGGCACCATATTTTAGGAAGGACATTGATAAATTGGGGTATGTCTAGAGCAAAGCAACCAGGAGAGAGAAAGATCCTCAGATTGTGCCACACAAGGACTGGTTGAAGGAACTGGGGATGAGAAGTTTGAGTGGAGATATGAGTGCTGGCTTCAACTGTCTGAAGAATTGTGTGATTACACATATTCTGCTTAATCCCAAAAAGTAGAGCCATGGACAAAGGGTGAAGGCTATAAAGAGGCACAATTGATTCAGTGTAAGGAAAGTCTTCTTAATAAAGAGAGCTATTCAAAAGAAAAATGGGCTGACCTGGATGGAAATGGATTCCCCTTCATTGAATGTCTTTAAGCAGCAGCTGTATGGCCATTTGACAGAGGTAAGTAAGGTAAGATTGCTGTTTAGATATAGATTGGGCTAGATGAGCTCTGAGGTTCCTTCTAATTCTTCAATGCCAGTTTTGAGGAATTGAAATAGTAACAGGTGAGACAATAGAACCCAGGTCTTCCAACTCTCCGTTTGGACTCTTTCCACTAAGCCATGCCTCTAATTATCAAACTATTATTCTGCTGCTCACTCCATCACTGTAGAAAGCAGGAGGGATTCTCATCTAAAATCATCCCCAGTTCTAGTTATATGCCATAATGTCCTACCCAAAGCAAAGAACATACAAAAGGCTACCCTAGCTTTACAGAGATTTTAATCTGCTACAACAGAAAAAGTTCAGAACTTTCTTTATTTGTTGATATAGAGAAAGTCATTAAACTTCTTTGTCTTTTATTTTCTACTTACATAAATTTAAGAACTACTGCCACTCCAAGTTTAGCAAAAACTAGAAAAGAGATTGCAACCACCCTGTGCACACATTAGTAACAAGTCTTTCAAGATGATCACAAAAGAGTAATTCCTTCTCTAAAAGAGCTTTCCTTACCATCTGCCCCTCAACTACCGCTTCAGTCAGTGAATTAGAAATTAACATACAACTTGATGAAACTTCTTGTTTCATCCAAGGGTTCAGGTGTTAAGAGAACACTCACTCTCTATATGTTTCTTCTTCAATGTGTTCACCTATATTCCGGATGAATTTCAGCAAGTCTCCCACAGTGTTCTTGTAGCGTTTTTTAGGTATTTTATAAAATGAATCCATTTTTTCCATCAGATCTTTATCAATCTGAAAAAAAATAAACATAAGTCATCTTGAAGTGAGATCTACTCATCTTCAAGGCAAGCAGCCATGGACTTTAAGTGCATTAAGCTTTAAATCAGAATACCTGGATTCAAGTCCTGGATCTGCTATTATTAGCCTTATCACCTGAGTAAGTCATTTAGGCTCTATGACCTGTGGATTCCTCATTTGTAAAAATGTGGACAGTAATGTTTACACTCCCTGAGACATTGGGTTCTTGTATAGATGAAAGAAATCCTCTACATACAGTAAAAGTGCCTTGTAAAGCAAAAGCAACAAATAAAGGAACTATAGAAAAGTTAGTTATTATGATTATTATCATTCTGACTTCCCCTTCTCCCAAGTTCCCTTGATACCTTGGTGCTAGAAACAATGATTATTACAAAAACTGTACCCTCAAAGAGAGCTAGTAAGGCAAACTGGGCCTTTCAATGTATATCTGATTATATAATATGGTCCTCTTCGAGAATAAAGAACAAACCACAACCTGATCATATAATATATGTATTTCCAAATTTATCGAGTCGACAAACTACTTCTTTCTGGGCCCCCATTTTCTCAATTTTAATTGATACAATTGGACTAGATGACCTCTTCCTACTCTAAACCTCAATCCAGGCAGGTATGCACAGGGTCATGGCAGGAAAAAGGCATGAACAGGTCACTGAGGCCAGCTAGATGTAGTGAGCTCTCACCAGTCATAGGAAAATGGAAGGCAGATTTTGAAGACCATGCCTGAACCTCCAGAGATCTTAGGGAACTCTCTACTTTTGCCTCCCCCTTGTCTCATCTCTACCACTCTATAGTAAAAATAACTCTGATAATGTTTCCATCTTGGAAATGGATTCAATGTAAGGACAATGAGAGTTTCTAGTGCTAATGATTTAATAGAAAGAATACTATGTATGAAGTCAGAAAACTTGAGCTCAACATCTTCTCCCATTTACTTGTTGTGTGACTTTGGACAAGACACTCAACTGAAGTCCTCTGTGCCTCAGTTTCCTAATCTGTAAAATTCAACTAATGAGAAAAATAGAAATATTAAACACATACTTTTCTGACCATAATGCAATAAAAGTCATATTAAGGGACCTTTGAAGAAAGAATTAAAAATAAAATGGAGATTAAATAATTTAATCTTAAAGAACTGGAGGATCAAAAAAAAACCATAGAAACAATAGATAATTTCTTAAAAGTAAGTGATGAGACAATACATCAAAACTTTTAGAATGCAGTTAAAGGACTCCTGAGGGAAAATATTTTTAGCACTAAACAGTTTCACTAATAAAAGAGAGAAAAAAATAAATCAATGAATTGGGCATGCAATTAAAAATAGGAAAACAACAAATAAAAAACTAAACACAAAAACAAACATTCTGAGAATCAAAGAAAAGATAAAAAAGAAAGAAAAAATGTTAAAATGATATAAATAGGAGCTGGGGTTTTTTTAAACTAATAAAATAGTTGTTCAGTGGTTTTTCAATCACATCCAACTCTTCACAAATTGAGGTTTTCTTGGCAGAGACATTTGAGTGGTTTGCCATTTCCTTCTCTAGCTCATTTTTATAAATGAGGAAACTGAGGCAAACAGGGTTAAGTGACTTGCCTGGAGTCACACAGCTAGTAAGTGTCTGAGGTCACATCTGAACTCAGGAAGATGAGTCTTCCCGACTCCAAGCCTGGCACTCTATCCACTGTACCACCTACCAGAAAAACAAATTTCCAAAAGCAAAAATGAAAAGAAATAATTCATAGCAGATGAAAAAGAAATAAGGGAAATCATTAGAAATAATTCTTACTCAATTATATGCCAACAAAAAATATAAATGAAATGGATGATTTTTATACAAAAAATATAAAATGTCCACATAAATAGAATAATAGAGAATTTAAATAAAACAATAAATTTCTCAGAAGAAGAAATTGAACAATGTACAAATGAACTACCAAAGGAAAAAACCACAGCATCAGATGGATTTGTAAATGAATTCTATCAAACATTTAAAGAACAATTAACTCCAATTTTACATAAAATGTTTGCAAAAATAGGGAAACATAGATTTCTATCAAATTCTCCCTATGAGAAAAATATGGTCCTGATACCTAAACCAAAGAGAGATAAAACAAATAAAGAGAAATATAAACCAGTATCTTTAATAAGTATCAACACAAATTGAATCAAATATTATCAAAAATGCTATGGCCGTATGTTAAAAATATTATACCCCATAACCAGGTTGGATTTATAGCAAGATTGTAAGGTTGGTCAAATGTTAGAAAAACTATAAACATAATGGACATAAACATAAACAATTAAAAAATAATAAAAATCACATGATCAATTTAATACATGCAGAAAAGGCTTCTGACAAAATACAAGACCCTTTTTTGTTAAAAACACTAGAAAGAGTAGGAATAAATGGCCCTTTTCTTAATATTGTAAATAGTATCTAGCTAAAACCAGGAGCTAGCATGTATCTGTAATAAAGAAATATTTGAGGATTCTCCAATAAATTAATGGGTAAAGCAGAGGCTTCTACTATCATCACCATTACTTGATATAGTTATAGAAATGTTGGTACAGCAATAAGAATAAAAATATTGAAGGAATAAGTCTATGCAAAGAAGAGACAAAATTATTGCCTTTTGCAGATGATAAGAGTATTTACTAAACTAAAAATTAATAGAAACAACAACTTCAGTAGAGCAACAGAATGTATAATAAACTCACAAAAGCTATCAGCCTTTCTGTGTATTACAAAATGCACCAGAAAGAAATAGGGAGAAAAAAATAATTAAAAATAGCTCAGTAATGTTTAAAATATTTAGGAGTCTTTACCTACCAAGACGCATTAGAGACATGCCTCATCCTTTAGCACACCACCACCCTGATGTAGGCCTGAATTATTACTGCAGTCTAGTGGTTGGCCTCCTTCTCCCAAGTCTCTCCCCACTCCAGTCCATCCTCCTCTCAACTGTCAAATTTATCTGAAAGTGCAAGTCCGACCATGTCAACCCACTATTCAATCAACCCTAGTGATTCCCTATCACCTCAAATCAAATATAAAATTCTCTCTTTGACATAGAAAGCCCTTCATAACCTGGCCCCTTCCTACCTTCTTAGGTAGGAAGTCTTCTTATATTTTACACTAATGCCCTCCCCCCAACCTAGTCAGAGGTCCAGTGATACCGATCTCCTCTCAACTCCTCACTCCATCTGGTCCTTTTCACTGCCTTTCCCCTATGCCATTATCTCTGCCTCTTGGCTTTTCTGGCTTTCCTGAGTCTCAGCTAAAGTCTCATCTTCTACAAGAAGCCTTTCCCAGTCCTCGTTAATCTTAGTTCCTTCTTCTGTAATTATCTCCAGCACCTATATATATATCTTCTTTGTATATAGTTGTTGGAGTATTGTCTTCCCCGTTAGATCATGAAGACAGGGACTGTTTTTTGCCTCCTTTGTATCCCCAATGCTTAGCACAGCGCCTGGCATATAGTCAACGCTTAATAAATGCTTGTTACTTAGCTACTCTGATCAATATAATGGTCCAAGACAATTATGAAGGACTCATGATGAAAAAAATGCTGTCTACTTCCAGAAAGAACTGATAAAGTTTGAGTGCAGATTAAAGCATAATTTTTTTGCTTTATTTTTCTTGGGTTTTTTTTTATTGTTGTTGCTTTTCAACACAGCGAATATGGAAATATGTTTTGCATGATTTCACATGTATTATGGATGTCATGTTGCTTCCTTCTCAATGAGTGGAGGAGAGGTAGAAGGAAGGGAGAAAATTCAGAACTCAAAAAGATTTTTAAACGAATGTTAAAAACAAATAATTAATAACTTGATTTTAAAAGAAGTAAATGCTTGTTCATTTTCTGTTAATTTTACTTGGAAAATTGTGGCCTTGAGTTCCCTCTTATCTCCTCTATATCTCAAAACCCTTCGATACCATCTCCCATTCTCTTTCTAGTGTCCTTGGCTTCTTTTAAGACTTAACTCAAATATTTCCTTCTGTGAGAGGCCTTTCCCAATTCCCCAGCTGCTATTGCCTTCTCCTCTGAGATCTCCTTTCATTTATTTTATTTATACCTTGTATTACTTAGTTACTTATATGTTGTCACCCCCAACCTGAGGGCAGGGACTGTTTTTGCCAATGCTTAATATAGTGCCAGGCAAATATTAAGCACTTAATAAATGTTTATTGGTTGACTGACTTGCTGAGTCTCCTTCTTTCCTCCAAACTGGGATGAAAAGGATGCCCCTGTCTCAAAGTAAATCTCTTTCTTTCTTTTCTTTCTAAATCCTTCTTCTTTTACCTTGATCTCGTCTACCTCTGTAAATTGCCCTCAAGATCATCTCTCTCTCTCTCTCTCTCTCTCTCTCTGACTCTCTCTGTCTCTCTGTGTCTCTCTGTCTGTCTCTCTGTCTCTCCCTCTCTCCTTTCTCATCTTCATTCTTTTCCTATCTTCTTTCTTATGAGTTAAAAGCAAGCTAAGTGTTCCCCACTCTAGGTTCCTAACTTTGAGTTGAGCCTACCATCCCTTTGAGCTAACTTCTTATGTGGTAAACTGTTGTACCCACTGCCTCTACTTCTCCTCATTCACTCCTTGCAATCTGACTTCCAACCTCATCATTTAACTGAAACTGCTTTCTCCAAAGTTACCAACGATCCCTTAATTGTTAAATCAAACACAGCTCAAATCATAGCTGCCCTTCTCTTTAAGCAGAGGATTTTGCCTCACTCTTTATTATCACTCTTCTTGACCTCTCTGTGTTAACCATTTTCTCCTTCTGGATATGCTCTCCTTTCTGAAATTTTTTTGACACTTTTCTCTTGTTTCTCCTCCTTGTTCCTGTTTGACACAATTGTCTTTACTCAATCATCATTCAGGTCCCATCCCCTAGATGTGGTTGTTCCCCAAAGCTCTGTCCTGGGACTTCTCTCTCTATAGTCTCTCATCACCTCCCATTGGTTCAATTATTCAGATGATTCCCAAAGCTATGTAGTCAACCTCGTTCCTCTCCTAGATTCCAGTACCACATCACTAACTTCCTGGCAGATATTTACAACTGGCTGTCCTTCCCAAACTCCTGCCTAGTTTTCCTGATCCTGTAATGGATCTCACAATCTTTGCAGTCACCCAGCTTCACACCCTCAGGGTTATCCTTGACTCTTCCCTCTTCATTTCCCCTTATCATTTCCTGTCTTCATGATATTTCTTATGTTGTCTCCTTTCTTCTACTCACCACCCTAGTTTAATTCAACATTGATAAATACTCAAACTGCAAAAACTGATGTATAAAACAAGGAAGCAAAACACTTAGTAGCTACTTGTCAATGTTGAACCTATGGAAGGGATGGAGTAGAAAAGGTAGAGCTTTGAGGACAGGAAACCAATAAGAAGGCGATGTAATGGTTCAAGTGAGAGTTGATGAGGACAATTAACAACCCTAGTTGGCAGAGTCTCATGACCAGTAAAGCCTATTAGACCACACTGATCTTACCTTTTCTCTCCAATTTTCAAAAGCCTTAGTGTGGTCGAGTTTCTCAAGGATTTTGCTGTCATAATTTCTTTTTTTGATGTCAGATTCATTCCCCACATCTCGAAGGAACCTGTTACGTCTGAAAGATGACAGAATTACAGTTGTTCCCTGTTCCTTCCTCCTTTCCCATCAAGGTATAAATGTCAGTGGTGCATTCATCCAGTTCAATTCATTCATTCGTCATTTATAATCTGGGCTTTCACTTACATTTTGCAGCTCCAAAAGAAAGGATGAGAGAGCATTTCACTTAGCTGGTTCTGCCATTCCTCCCCAGGGCTAAGCAAGTTTTGCACGAGATCTTTAGTTTCCTCATTTGTACAAGCTTCTATGACCTCAGTGTCACTTTGGGCTTGAATTTTTGAAAAGGGGTCTTTCCCCACCTGCACCACATACAGAACCAACCTTCCAAGAGCCTGGAAAGAATTCAATAAATCCATCAGCTTATATTTATTGAGCTAGACCTACTCTCTGCAGGGCACTCTAATAGACATGAGAGATGCAAAGATGAGTAAGACAAAGTCTTTGCTCTTCACATAAGCATAATCTAGTTGGAGAAATAAGGCAGGTGAAAAGGCAATGAACTAACCACTCCAGGCAGCCCCTACTAAGAGCCCAGTGAGTGGTATAGAAAATAAGTAGTGTAGGGATTCACAATAGGTCACCATGGGGTAGGGTGGTCAGGGAAGGCTTATTGGAGAAGATAGAACTTGAGTTCGGTCTTGAAGGATGAGTAGGAATTATAGTTATCCCTTCCACATTGTGACTTTCCCCATTGTGGTTTTGATATACCTTAGGTTGGCATAAGAAATAAAATGGAAATTTGGGGGAGTTTTGCGGAAGTCGCAGATGACATGCAGAGGCCAGTAAATGACACAGAGCCTATGATCAAATACTTAACTCAAATTTTATAATAAGATACTGTAAACACCCCATAAAAGAAAAAGAAAAAATTGAGACTTCTCTGGTATGAAGAGAAGGTCAAAAAATTTTACACAGATTTTCCATATTGCAGGGGGGTGCACACCCCTAAGACCCCCACTCCAGCCACCCACCTTATCCCCACCACCATGATGTGGTGGAAGAGATAATGTATATCAGTGGAGAGAATCAGAAGTGGAATTCAAGCCAGTGAAAATGTCTAAGCAAAAATGTGCTATTTCCTCTCTGGGCTTCATTTTTGACTCACCAGACTTCTTTCTTTGTGAATGCCACCCCTCCTATTCTTTTATGTGTTCTTTTATGTGTCCTCTTCCCCATTAGAAGTAAGCTCCTTGTGGGCAGGCACTGTCTTCTTGCTTATATTTGTATTCCCAGCTCTCATTACAGTGACAGACACATAGTAAATACTTAATAAATGCTTGTTGACTTGAGGGTGGTCATTGGAATATAGACAGCTGGCAAAGGGCAGGCTGGGTACACAAAAGAAGGTTGGCTACACATGAAGGCAGGTAAGTAGCTTAGTCAACATCTGGCTAGACAAGGGTCAAGGTAGGTGATTGACTTCAAGGGGAATAAAATATTTGAGGGCAAGGTTCTGTCAAGACTTAGACCAGAGGTGCATTTTAGAAGTCAAATCCTAGTCCTGAATCGGTGCAGGAGCTGATATTCAGATGAGGGAAAAACAGAGAGGCCATTCTCAATAAGCCAAGAGAGAAGAATACTTGAGCACTCTTTCTTCTTTCACTTCCCCTTAGGGAGTTTCCAACACTGCCTTCTCTCCAGGAAGGACATTGCATTAACCTAGACTATTAACAAGAAATTCTGAGTAGAAGAGGACTCCATGCCTATGGACTATGGGAAAAATAGACCAAAGAGGATAGACCTAGCTCTTTAAAGCAAGACAAATTACCTCAGGAGCTGATCAAAAAGACCTAAATAGCTTCTGGATAAAAGGGACTCATATGCCAGCTGGGTGGCTAGGCAGGGCAGTGTACCAGGCCTAGAGTCAGAAAGACTCATCATCCTGAATTCAAATCTGGCGTCATACACTTACTAGCTATGTGATCTTGGGCAAGTCATTTAACCTTATTTGCCTCAGTTTCTTCATGTTCAAAATGAGCTGGAGAAGGAAAAAGCAAACCAATCCAGTATCTTTGCCAAGAAAATCCCAAATGGGGTCACAAAGAGTCAGACACAACTGAAACAACTGAACAACAACATATACCCATTTGTGTTGAAGTCAAAAGCTTTGTCTGGATTCATCCATGGAAATTTCTTCTACTGAGAGGCTTCTGCCCAATCCATCAGCCAAAAGGCTCTCTGTATCTTTGCCTGGACTCCAATATCCATATCCTGGATTCCCTGTCCTGATTCTTCTGACTTGTCTCAGTTGTGATCTCTATCTGTACCAACCATGGCCATCATGTGGTCCCTGCTGGTAACTCGGACCAATCCAACCCTTCCACTCCCAATCAACCACACCTTAGCAACATCCAGTCAGTATCTAAGCCCTTTCTGAATCCCAGTCACTGACAAAAAGGCACAGTACAGCCCAACTCAGAGTAGATTCAAATCATACAGTAGGTCAGGGGAAGAAATAGAAGGGTACTGCTCCAGGGGATGAGAGAAAACTTTAACCAGAAATGTCCCAGTGTGATGGGAAACCTCCTGCTCTGAAAACATTTGGGTACACGGACTATGCGAGCCGAAGGAGCTGTCTTCAAATACTGAAAGGCTAGAGGAGGGACAGCATTGCTCTGCTCAGCCCAGGAAGGGAGAGAGGCAAATTTTAGGTTTGATACGCAGGCCATTGTCTTCGGTCTACCTGACTCTTTTTTCTCTCTTCTCCATTCCATCTTTAATTGAGCCATCAAAATCAGTTTCCTAAAAGATAGGTCTGTCCATGACACTCCCCTGTTCATTAAATCTGATAGTTCCCTATAACCTCTAGATCAAATACAAACTCTTCTGTTGTGTATCTTAAACCCTTTACAACCTGGCACCAGCCCACCTTTTCAGGTTTATGCATAACTCCCCATCAAGCACTCTATGGTCCAGTCAGACGGGCTTTGCTCTTTCTCACACGTGATGCTCCATACCTTGGCATAGGGCATCCTCCAAGCAGAGAAGGCACTCCTTCCTAAACCCTCTCATTTTTAAGATCCCCATCTGTCTTCAAAACTCAGTGTAAGTACTGCCTTCTACATGAGGACTTTATTGATTTCCATCCCACCTCTCCCACGATGCCCTCCTCCCAAAAATGACTATATATTTACTGTATTTATATACCATATACTTATATTTGTACATGTCTCTCCTGATGGAATATCAGCTCCTTGAGGGCAGGGACTATTTAATTTTGTCTTTGTATCACTAGCACCCGGCACCACATCAAGTACATAGTAGAGACCCTTAATAAATGCTTGTCGATTGATTGACTGACTGACTGATTGATATAAGGAAGAATTCCATAACATTCAGAGCTAAACAAAAGTAGAACGAACTGCTTTGGAACGATATTTCCTTTCGCTGAAAGTCTTTCTGGTCATCTCTGTGCCATGCTTCCTGTAGCTACAGCTTCCAATCTCTTGGACAAGATAACCTCTGAGGTTTTAATGTAACTGGGGTCTTAGAGTCATCTAGTCCAACTTTGTCCTATTATAGATGAGGAAACTGAGGTCCAGGTACGTTCAGTGACTTGTCTCATGGAGAGGGGAGAGGGGAGGGAGCACACATTTATTAAGCAGGTAGCACAGGCACTGTACTAAGTATTTTGCAAATATTATTTCATTTGTGCCAGGGTCACATAAGTATTAAAGTATCAGAAGAAGGATTCAAACCCAGTTCTTATGACTCCAAATTCTGGGATCTTTCCACTACATTATGCTGTCCGGAACACAGCTGCATAAATAGTTTTGATTTTTTCCACAAAAAAAAAACTAGTTATCTTTGTTTTTTATATTTTTCTTTTCTTTACAGCTTTCTTGGCTTGCCACTCTGCCTCACTTAAATCCAATTAATGAATGAGTCAAGACATCACTCTTTGATGTCATCGGTCCTCTTTGAAAATGAAGGACAAGGAGGCAGCTAGGTGGCGCAGTGGATAGAGCTCCAGCCCTGGATTCAGGAGGACTTGAGTTCAAATCCGGCCTCAGACACATAACACTTACTAACCATGTGACCATGGGCAAGTCACTTAAACCCATTAGCCTAGTCAAAAAAAAAAAAAAAAAAGAGAGAAAGAGAGAAAAGGAAAGAAAAGAAAATGAAGGACAAACAACAACACAAAATTCAGGAAAACTGCCCCACTATTTAAAGTGGTCCTTTTATGAAGAAAAATTCCTAACGTGAATTCACATCAAGTCAATAGACTGATTTCACAATATATCGATTCTCACAATATTGATAATCACAGGGATGCTCCCAAGAAAGATCAGCTGAAGTTCAAATCAGCAGTATTGGAGACAAAAATCATTTCTTAATTCACCACAAACAAATGCAAAAACAACCATTACCTTGTCTTTGCTTCTTCACATTTTTTTTTTCATTTTAGTAAACATAGGGCAGCTAGGTGGTGCAGTGCGTAGAGTGCTAGGTCTGGAGTTAGAAAGACTCATCTTCATGAGTTTAAATTTGGCCTTAGACACTTACTTGCTGCGTGATCCTCGTCTAGTCACTTAATCCTATTTGCCTGAGTTTCCTCATCTGTAAAATGAACTGAAGAAGGAAATAGCAAGCTACTACACTATCTTTGCCAAGAAGATCCCGATGGGGTCATGAAGAGTCAGACACAACTGAAACAACTCAACAACAACAACTAACATGAAAAAATGCAGCTTTATTTTTGTTCCCTTCTTTGCATTTAAACCAGGCAGGGGGAGAGTGTAAAATCTGAACGCAGAATTTTAGAGTTAAAAAGGGCTTCAGCGGCCATCTGGTCCAATTCATCCATGAAAGAAATGCCTATTGAAACACACCAGACAAGTGGTCCGTGACACCTCGAACTGAGCACCGGGCATAATAGGGATATGATTTGGTCAGGACACAGTCCAAAGAAACTACGAATGGATGGATGGTTACTAGATGAAGAGATGTATGGATGCGTGGAGGAGTAGATAAAAAAGCATTTATCAAGCACTTGCTTAGAGCAGAGCAGAAAAGCATGTAATAACACCTTTTCTTTAATATAATTTCCATTAATAAAGCCCTACCTATTACAGATGTACAACCCTTTGACAGTACCAATGATTATGGTATCAAAAATGCATTTTCTGAGTCTTCAGGAACTATGACTTCAATCAATCTTTTATGGCTTCCTTTAAGGCCCAATTTAAAAACCACCTTCTACAGGAAGCCTTCCCCAACCACTCTTAATTCCAGTGCCTTCCCACTGTTAATTATTTCCTATTTATTCTGTATGCAGCTTGCTTTGTATATATTTGTTTTCACTTTGTCTCTTCCAGTAAGAAGATTACAAGCTCCTTGAACTCAGTGACTATTTTTGCCTCTTTTTATATTCCAGCACTTAGCACAGTGCTTGGCACATAGTAGGTATTTAATAAATGCTTATTGCTTGATTGATTGATTGGTGTGACTTCAAGATCTTTCATCATTGTGTTGCCCTGTTCCATATGCTTTCTAGTTTATCGACATCCTTCCTAACATGATTAAAATGAGATGATTCTCCACCATTTGATAGGAAACTAAGATATTGAAAGAAAGTGTGGGCACAGAGGGGAGGTCAGAAGTGGAGGAGGGTGGTATTTAGATAAAAGAAGAGGAGTAAATGTGATTCAGCATAAAAGGACTATACCTTTAGATCATCTTTAATTTTCTGCCGACCTTCATCCAATTTTTCACTCTTATCAAAATCTGCCAAACAAACTTCATCTTTAGAATCTGACAGAGAAAGAGGTGAGAAATTAAGTGAAATGAAAACTCCTCATCCCCCCATGAACTGACTTAGACTCATATGAGCATGCATCTTAATATGCTTTCTTTCTTATCTTTTTTTTTTGATTGGGCAATGGGAGTTAAGTGACTTGCCCAGGGTCACACAGCTAGTAAGTGTCTGTGGCCAGATTTGAACTCAGGTCCTCCTAAATCCAGGGCCAGTGCTCTATTCACTATGCCACCTAGCTGATCTTCCATCTTTCTTTTCTGAAGAAGACACTAATAATGACTCACATTTATCAAGTGTTTTGTACTTTTCAAAGCACTTTCACATATGTAACTGCTTAGCCCCCCATAACAAGACAAGTATTTGTCTCTCTAATAGTGGGCAGGGATTTGCACTAAGGCATCCACATGCTTTTCTATGTGACCAATAATAATAATACACATTGACAAGACACTAGGTGCTTCTGAAAAGCTAAATTCATCCGGCTCAGATGAATTACATTCCAGGGTTCTGAAAGACATGGAGAATATAATTGCTGAGCAAGGGTGAGGTTCTTTGCAACAGGAAAAGGAAAATGATGTCCCTGTTTTCAAAAGAGGAAATAACATGGAGTCTTCAAAATATAAGCTAGGGAGCTTACTTTCTGTTCCTGGCAAAAGTCTAGGATATATTATTAAAGAGATGGCTTGTAAGCATTTAGAAGGGGAACACTGATCAGTAAGAGTCAGCATAATTATGTGAAAACATTATGTTAGTGAACATATCTTAAGACTTCAAAAAAGTTTTAGACATTCCAAAAATTATTGAACAAAAACAGAGGTACTTTGGAATTTGGGTAACTTCCATCTAATCCAATATGAATTTACTTAGGAAAGATGTCCCATGTGCATGGGACCAAAGGTCATGCTTTGGAAATTGAAGTGGGGAAGGATACCCATCAAAATGGGGAATGGCTGAACATATGGTATATGTATGATATGATATGATATGATATGATATCCTCTCTAGGATGAGATCCTTCCTCCATCTTTTTCAATTCTTCATTTTTTCCTGTAGTGACATAAGCAAAAGCAGCATCATTATTCACATTATACATCTAGCACTTTAAGGTGTAGAGAGTAAGTTGGTGAGAGTGGGCATTTTCTCCATTTTGCAGATGAGTAAACTAAGCCTAGGAAATATTTTGTGACCTGCCCTTCGGTATATAACCAATACAATCCAAAAAGCATTTATTAATTTAAGACATTGTGCTAGATATTAGAAGAGGGGGTTTTAACTTGGAAAATTTCAGAGACTCTATGAATTTGAATGGGGAAAAGGAATTGCACCTTTATTTTCACTAACTTCTAACCAAAATACAGCATTTTCTTCAATTATGAATTTAAAAAAAACAACATGATTTTGAGATGGAGTCCATAGGCTTCATCAGATTGCCAAAGGTATCTATGCCATAAAAAAAAAGACATCGCAATGGACCACCTGATTCATAGAAGAGTGACAGGAAGACTCATATTTCTGTGTGTAACCCATTACACAATCCCTCCCCAAGCTCTGGGTTTACATAGACTAGGTCCAATCTTTGGGGTTCACCTAAAAGTATCAATTTCTCTTTAGCTCCTTGCCCCTAGTAGGTACTTTGGGAAGTAGTCTATTTTAGGAAAATCTTATCTAATAAGTATTGGAAAGATATCTTTGATGATGGCAGTAAAGTGGGTATAAACCTGAAATCAAAGGTGGCGTTTTCTCCCTTTTTTTTCACGTTTTGAAATGACAAACTTTAGGAGTTAGGGCTTTTTGTGGATAGTAGGTTCATGGTCATGGGGCTAAGAATTACCAGGTCATGTGATTTGAACTTCAGGATAGTTCAAGAGGACCCTGGTCTAATGTAGTTTCATTCTATTTCATTTTTATATGCATACTTTATGTATGTGTATGTATATTTGTTTTTGTTTTAGTCTGAATTCCTCATACAAAGAAGTTATCTGAAAAATTGCTATATCCAATTTAACCTAAAATTTTCCCCAGAGCAAGCAATGGATATTGTGCATCTGTACAATACTTATGCAGTTGTTTTCAAGGAGAAATGTCTATGTTAGATGTTTTGAGTGACATCTACCAAGATCCCCAGGTTTAGAAGACTTGCTGTACTGGAGAATTTTGAGGAGGTACCTTCCTAATTAAATCCACTTCTAGAACACTATAAAGTTATTCAAAGATGGAGGAGTAAAGGTGAGGACTCATCTGAGTTCTCCCCCAAACCCCTCCAAATACCTTTAAAAATGACTCTGAACAAATTCTAGAGCAGCAGAACTCACAAAAAGACAAACTGAAACAAATTTCCAGCCCAAGACAACCTGGAAGGTCAACAGGAAAGGTCCATTGCACCAGGCTGAGAGAGGAGTGTAGTCCAGCACAGGGCACGCCAGCACAGCCCTGGCCCCAGCAAACTAGGAGCAGGCCTTGGGAGTGACTGAATCAGCAGCAGCAGAGGCAGTGGCAGTGGCTGCTTCTGGAGCTCTGAGCCCACAGATGGTATGGGGATTGAACAACTGGTCAAAAGGACATTACAGGGATCTCTTTGCTAGCATTGAGGCAGGACTCTGTTGCTTTGTCCGTACTTGGATCTGTATTGCAGTCCTGGGTGGCAGTCTTGGGGTGAGGAGGAGCACTAGCATAGCAGAGTTTGAGGCAGCAGTGGAGAGGGGATCTCCTCACAGTTCCAGGACAGAAAAGAGTGCTTGTGGTGGCTCACAGACCAGAGCACAGGCCAGAAGAGGAGCAAACACCTCTCCTTAGATCATACCCCCTTGGAAGAACTGAAAACTTAGAAGTTCCTAGAAGTATCTCTGAAAACAGCTGTACAAAACCACTGAAGCTTGGGACAGTACACCCTCCTCCACACTGGAGTCAGAGCCCTCCCTTAACAAAGAGTTAAAAAGTCAAGTAATATGCTGGGAAAGTGAGCAAACAATGGGAAAAAATTCTGACTATAGAAACTTTCTTTGTTGACAAGGAAGATCAAAACACACACTCAGAAGAAGACATCAAAGTTAAAGCTCCTACATCCAAAGACTCCAAGAAAAATATGAATTGGTCTCAGGCCCATGGAAGAGCTCAAAAAGGATTTTGAAAAGCAAGTAAGAGAAGTAGAGGAAAAATTGGGAAGAGAAATGAAAGTGATGCAAGAAAATCACGAAAAACAAGTCAACAGCTTGGTAAAGGAGATCCCCCCCCAAAAAAAATACTGAAGAAAATAACACCTTAAATAATAGACTAGACCAAATGGCAAAAGAGGGACAAAAAGCCAATGAGGAGAAGAATGCCTTAAAAAGCAGAATTGGCCAAATGGAAAAGAAAATCCAAAAGCTCACTGAATAAAATAATTCCTTAAAAATTAGAATGGAGCAAATAGAAGCTGACGGCTTTATGAGAAATCAAGAAATTGTAAAACAAAATCAAAAGAATGAAAAAATAGAAGACAATGTGAAATATCTCATTGGAAAAACAACTGACCTGGAAAATAGATCCAAGAGAGAGAATTTAAAAATTATTGGACTATCTGAAAGCCATGATCAAAAAAAGAGCCTAGACATCATCTTTCAAGAAATTATCAAGGAAAACTGCCCTGATATTCTAGAACCAGAGGGTAAAATAGAAATTGAAAGAATCCAAAGGTCACCTCCTGAAAGAGATCCCCAAATGAAAACTCCCAGGAATATTATAGCCAGATTATAGAGTTTCCAAGTCAAGGAGAAGATATTTCGAACAGTCAGAAAGATTCAAGTGTCTTGGAGCCACAATCAGGATAACACAAGATTTAGCAGCTTCTATATTAAAGGATCAGAGGGCTTGGAATATGATACTCTATGGGACAAAGGAGCTAGGATTACAACCAGGAATCACCTACCCAGCAAAATTGAGTATAATCCATGAAGGGGAAAAATAGATATTCAATGAGATAGAGGAATTTCACGCACTCTTGAGAAAAGACCAGAGCTAAATAGAAAATTTTACTTTCAAATACAATACTCAAGAGAAACATGAAAAGGTAAACAGGAAAGAGAAATCATAAGGGACTTAGTAAAGTTAATCATTTACATTCCTACATGGAAAGATGATATTTATGACTCATAAGATCTTTCTCGTTATTAGGGTAGTTAAAAGGAGTATATATAGACAGAAGGCACAGGTGTGAGTTGAATATGAAGGGATGATATCTCAAAAATAAAATTAAGGGGTGAGAGAGGAATGTACTGGGAGAAAGAGAAAGGGAGAGATAGGATGGGGTAAATTATATCCTATAAAAGAGGCAAGAAAAAGTTTTTACAGTGGAAGGGAAGAGGAGGGAGGTGAAAGGGAGTGAGTAAACCTTTTTCTCATCAAGTTGGCTCAAAGAGGAAATAACATGCACACTCAGTTGGCTATAGAAATCTATCTTACCCTAGAGGAGAGGGGGATAAGAGAAGGGGGAGTCATAGAAGGGAGGGCAGATTGGGGGAGGGGGTAGTCAGAAGCAAAACACTTTAGAGGAGGGACAGGGTGAAATGAGAGAGAGAATAAATAGGGGGGATGGGATGAAGGGAAATATAGCTAGTCTTTCACAACACAACTATTATGGAAGTGTTTTGCTACACATGTATAACCTATATTGAATTGCTTGCTTTTTCAATGGGGGGTGGGGGTGGGAAGGGAGGAAGGGAGAGAATTTGGAACTCAAAATTTTAAAAGTGAATGTTAAAATTGTTTTCCATGTAACTGGGGAAAAATAAAATACTAAATAAAATTTTTTTAAAAAAAGAAAGAGAAGTTGGTAAACATCATAGGAAAGGATAGAAAATAATGAATATTATACTTTAATGAAAAAGAAATAAAAAATGAAATCAATTAAAAAGGAAACATTAAAAATTAATATCGCATATTCTCCCAGAAAAAAATAAATAAAGTTAGTCTATGCTCCCTTGACAGTCAACCAGTACATCTGGGAGAAAGGAGCCCAGGGTAGCAGAAGGAAATTGGCCTAGAATGAAGACTTTGCTACAGATAACCTTCAAAGTAAATAATCTCCATGTCAATCACTAAAAATTGACTGTAGACCTTTGGTGTGTGTTACAGTATGTTATAAAGAAAGCTAAATGATCTCATTTTTTAAGCTCCCTAAACCTCCATGGCTGGGTAAGGGACTCACCTATCAAGATATTCCCTGGGTGCAGGTCCTGGTGGGTATAGTTGCTTCTGTGTAGTTCTTGCACTGCCTTAAATAAGGACTTGAGAATGTTTTGGAGGTCCTCATTCTTCAAGGCTGTTTCTCCTTGATCAGTCAGATGTTCCTCCAGAGTCTTCTCGCAAAGAGCAAAGCACAAATACAAACAGCTCTTTTGGCTCTCTCTCCCATAAAACGTCACCAAGTTGCTATTGTTCTGGCAATGGCGGATACAGTTAATTTCTTGATGAGCTCTTTTACTGTCTCCTTGGAATCGCTTCACAGCTGCCTCTTTCCCATCATAGAACCCCAGGTATACACCACCTTCAGAAGTTTCTGCTATCCTGTACTTTTCTTGAATGAAAATCTTGAGATTGCCAATCATGGGACGCTCTATCCTATAGAGAGTCCTCAAGCCATCCTGCCATCGTTGACTGTTTGGCTCATAGACCTTAGGAGGGAAAGGGAAATTCTCACTGGCCCCATGATCTCGAAGAAGATTGACCATACGCTGGTCGTAGTTGTTCTGAGCTATCCTAATGAGCTCTCCACAGTCTACTTTGGCTCCTTTTTCACACAGCAACTGGGCAATGTCATATTGATCATTCTTGACAGCAACCAGAAGAGCTGTGTTGCCATCATTATCCCTATCATTGATAGCTATTCCATCGTGTTCCAGCATTATATGTACTAACTCGCCATCCTCCTTCTCTACTGCCAAAAGTAAAGGTGTTTTCCCTTTTTCTCCCCTCACGTTGACATCAGCTCTATACTTTAGCAGTAAGCGCACAATCTCTTTCACATTCTTGTTCTTAGGATTCAGAAGACTATGGATTAAGGCATTTCTGCCCATGTTGTCACGGGCATTCACGTCTGCCTGCATCTTTTCAAGAAGGATTTTCAACACATTGACATGACCTTGTTCGGCTGCATCCATGAGGGCTGTGTTCCCCCCTTTGCACAGTTTCTTTTGTTCCTCACTAGTTTGTCGTCCCAAATTCACTTGTGCCCCATTTTCATACAGGAATTCTAAGGCATCCACCTGACCATAACAGGCAGCTTCCATAAATGCTGTGAACCCATGGTTATCATATTCATTGATGTTTGCTCCCTTAGAAAGAAAAAGTTTCAAGAGTTCCACATTTCCCACAATCCCAGCCACAATGAAGGGAGTGGCACCATTGTCTTTCTTGATATGAGCATCAGCACCTTTCTCTAGTAAAAGCTGAACAATGTTCTTGTGGCCTTCTTTCACAGCATTATGCAGTGGAGTCCAGCCACCCTCCACCTGGACGTTGATATCTTCTCCTCCTTCTAACAGCTCTTGGACCCACCCAATGTTACCTTCCTTAACAGCTTGAATCAAAGGAGAATATTTCACCTTGGGGGAAGAGGTAAATGTGGGTCTCTGCTGGGAGCTGTGTTTATTGGGCTCCATGAATGTCAATGTCATATGATAATGCTATGCAATGTGATCCTCTTTGCCTTAGAGAAAAAGAAAGTACATCTATTTTGGACGTGATTAAGGGTGAAATTTTGAGAGTCTTCAGCTGGGGAAGATGAGGATTGTCTTGCTAATGAACAGCATTCTCTGGGTCTTTTATTTCTCCATCTAATAAAGAATAATTTTGTCAGTTAACCAGATAAGCCATATTAAAAACAAATTTTTCTACCCAGTTCACATAATGGTGGCTATTGTATACCATCCTCCATCTCTCCAACCTTCCTCAAGAAGTTCTGCACTTAGCTGCCCTTATACTAGAGGACTTCAGTTTCTATGTTGGTGTTGTCTCAAACTCTCTCATCTTCACCTAGAGAATATCTTGATAGGTGAGTTCCCAACCCAGTCATTGAGGTTTGGGGAGTTTAAAAAATGAGATGGCTTTGTTTTATTTATAATATAGCTTCACACATATAAAGGATCTATACTCAATTTTTGATAATCTGGTAATTCCTCAATCTCCTCAAATGTCACAAGCTACTTCTTCCTGCCACCTTAGCCGCACCTAGGGATGGTGACACACTAAATCTCACCATTACCCAGAAATGTTCCACTTACCTAATTTAAAACTCTGATATTCTTCTATCTGACCACAGTCTCCTATCATTCCGTTCTGCACCATGCCTCAACCCCTCCAAACCCATCTTTCACTTCATTAAGGTCTCTAACCCGTCTGCCACCCAGGACTTTATCAGGTCATTTCTCTTGCATTGACTTCACTTTCTTCCCTCTCTAATCTTGACCCTGGAGTTAATCAGTTCAAATGTACACTGTCTTCTGCTTCCCCTCCTGCCACACCTATCCTATTGTGGCTCATCCCTTGCCAGACCACAGCCCAGAATTGTGCCCTTCATCCTATCTCCTCCTCCTACTCAAGAGATGCTGATCCTAGAGATTATTATTATTATTATTAGTTAATAATAATAAAACATATAACAGCTACTATATGCCAGGCACTAGTATCTCATTTGATCCTCAAAACAACCCTATGAAGCTGGTACTATTGTTGTTCCCATTTCCCAGTTGGAGAAACTGTAAAGTGTTATCCACTTTCAACTAGGTTCTCACTGTAACAACACAATACTTGTATTCTTCCCTAACTGATTTTCCATCTCTCTCCCCCTAAAAGCTCTTCTGAACCTCCTCTTTTCTCTTCCTATACCTCCCAGCTGAGGATCCCACCTCCCACTTTACTGAGAAAATTGAGGCCATTTGGCCTCCTTCTTCTCCTCTTCTCTTCATATTTAAGCCTTTTGACATAATCTCTTCTCTTTTCCTTTCTCCCAGTTTCTGACAAAGAGATGACCATATTAAGACCTGACTAACTTCACCAGAATCTACCATCCTCTCCAGCTATCATCCTTTCTTAGTTCTCCTTTTCTCAGCCAAACTTCCTGTCTATCAAAAACAGCTGGGAAAACTGGAAAACAATATGGCCAAGACTAGGTGTAGATCAATATCCTACACCATATGCCAAGATAATCAAAATAGGCACATGATTTAAACATAAAGGGTGATACCATAAACAAATAAGGAGAGTGGAGAATAGTTTACCTGTCAAATCTATGGAGAAGGGAAGAATTTGTTTTTTTCCACTTTATAGTATTTTTTCTAATTTTATGTAAAGATAGTTTTCAACATTCACTTTTATAAGATTTTGAGTTCCAAATTTTTTCTCTCCCCTTCTCTCCCCTCTCCCTAAAATGGCAAGCACTCTGATATAGGCTATACATGTACAATCATATTAAACATATTTCCACATTAGTCATGTTGTGAAAGAAGAATCAGAACAAAAGGGGAAAACCATGAGAAAAAAAGAAAAAGAATGAAAATAATATGCTTTGATCTGCATTCAGACTCCATAGTTCTTTCTCTGGATGTGGATAGCATTTTCCATCATGAGTCTTTTGGAGTTGTCTTAGATCATCGTATTGCTAAGAAGAGCTAAGTCTATCAAAGTTGATCATTGAACAACATTGTTGTTACTGCATATAATGTTATCCTGGTTCTGCTCACTTCATTCAGCATCAGTTCATGTAAATCTTTCCAGATTTTTTGAAATCCACCTGCTCATCAATTCTTATAGCACGATAGTATTCCATTACATTCATATGCCACAACTTGTTCAACTATTTCCCAATTGATGGGCATCCCCTCAATTTTCATTTCTTTGCCATCACAAAAAGAGCTGCTATAAATATTTTTGTACATATGGGTCCTTTTCCATTTTTTTTATGATCTCTTTGGGATACAGACCTAGTAGTGGCATTGCTGGATCAAAGGATATATGCATAGTTTTATAGTCCCTTGGGCATAGCTCCAAATTGCTCTCCAGAATGGTTGGATCAGTTCACAACTCCACCAATGACGCATTACTGTTTCAATTTACCCACATCTCCAACATTTATCATTTTCCTTTTTTGTCACATTAGCCAATCAGATAGGTGTGAGGTGGTACCTCAAAGTTGTTTTAATTTGCATTTCCCTAGTCAATAATGATTTAGAAAATTTTTCATATGACTATTGATAGCTTTCATTTCTTCATCTGCCTGTACATGTCCTTTGACCATTTATCAATTGGGGAATGGGAGAAGGGAAGAATTTATAGCCAAACAAAAGATAGAGAGCATTATAAGATATAAAACGGATCATTTTGATTATATTAAATTAAAAAGGGTTTGCACAAACAAAACCAATGCAAACAAGATTAGAAGGAAAACAGAAAAGTGGGGGGAAACTTATACAGCTAGTGTCTCTGACAAAGGCCTCATTTCTCAAACATATGGGGAACTGAATCAAATTTATAAGACTACAAGTCATTTCCCAATTGATAAATGGTCCAAGGATATGAATAGGCAGTTTTCAGATGAAGAGATCAAAGCTATCTATAGTTATATGAAAAAATGCTCTAAATCATTATTGATTACATACCACCTCACACCTGTTACATAAGCTAAGATGACAGAAAAAGAAAATGATAAACGTTGGAGGGGATATGGGAAAATTGAGACACTAATATACTGTTCATGGAGTTGCGAACAGATCCAAGTATTCTGGAGAGTATTTTGGAACCATGCCCAAAGGGCTATAAAACTGTGATCCAGTAATGCCACCACTAGGTCTGTATCCCAAAGAGATTTTTTAAAAGGGGGAAAGGACCTATTTGTACAAGAATATTTATTGCACCTGTTTTTTGTGGTAGCAAAGAATTGGAAAATGAGGGGACGTCAATCAATTGAGGAATGGCTGAACAAGTTGTGGCATATGATTGCAATGGAATGCTAGTGTGCTATAAGAAATGGCAAGCAAGATGATTTCAGAAAATTCTAGGAAGACTTATATAAACTGATTCAGAGTGAACTGAGAAGAATCAGGAGAAGATTGTATATAAGTAACAGCAATACAGTATGGTGATCAACTGTGAAAGATTTAACACTTCTCAGCAATGCAATGATCCAAGACAATTCCAAAAGACTCATGATGAAAAATGCCATCATCTCCAGAGATAGAACTGCTTAGAGTCTGAATGCAGATCGAAGCATACTATTTTTTACTTTCTTTATTTTTTTATGGTAGTGGGGTTTTTTTTCTGTGTTTTCTTTCCCAACATGACTCATATAGAAATACTTTGCATGAGTACATGTGTATAACCTATACCAAATTGCTTATCATCATAAAAACAGAAAAAGGGAGGGAGAGAGAGAATTTGGAACTCAACTTAAACAAATGTGTTTAAAATCATTTTTACACATAATTGGGAAAAAACAAAATATTATTGAATAAATAAACTTTCTGTCTATGCTCACTGCCCCTATTTCCTTTTCTCTCACTCACTCCTTAACCCTTTGCAATCTGACTTCCAACCTCACCACTCAACTGAAATTGCTCTCTCCAAAGTTATCAGTGATAATCATGCCTAGCATTTATAATAATGGCTAGCATTCATACAGTGCTTTAAGGTTTAAAAAGCCTTTCTAAGGGGCAGCTAGGTGACACACTGGATAGAGCTCCAGCCTCAGATACTTGACACTAGCTGTGTGACCCTGGGCATGTCACTTAACCCCAATTGCCAAGCCAAAAAAAAAAAATCTTTTTTAAAAATATCTGCTTCTCTCTTTTTTTTAACATGTGTTTTCTTATTGGATCTATACATCAATTCTGGAAGTATGTGCCATTAGTATCCCCATTTTACAGATGAGGAAGCTGAGGCCAAGAGAACTTAAATGACTTGCCTAAGGTCACACAACTAGCAAGTGTCTGATGCAGGATTTGAATTCAGTTTTTCTTGACTACAAATGCAGCACCCTATCTCCTGTGCCACCTAGCTGCTTCATGTCTTAATTGCTAGATCTGATCATCCCTTTTCAATATTCATCCTTCTAGACCTATCTGCTGCATCTGACACTAGCAACTACCATCGCCTCCCTGAGCTTTCTGGACAGCACTCTTTCTCCTCCTACCTATTTAACTGCATTCTTCTCAGTCCCTGTTTGTAGTTCATCAACCAGATCACTCTCCCTATCAATGGCTATTCCTCAAGGCTCTGCCTTAAGTCCCCTATTCCTCTGTCTAGCTCTCAGTGACCTCATCAGTTCCCACTGGTTAAATTGTCATCCCTACAACAATAACTAACAAATCTGTGTATACAGCCCCAGTCTCTCCCCCATGTTTCCATCCCACATCACCAATTGCCTATTATACATTCCAAACTGGATATCCTGGAGACATCTCAAACTCAACACGTCGAAAAAAAGATCCTATCATCTCCCCACCAAACCGCCCTCTCTTCCAAGCATCAGTACTTCTTTCAAAGATACTGCTACTTTTATAATTTCTCAGGTCCATAACATTGGTGAACTCGTCACTCTCCGTCACTCAATGGATTCAGTCTCTTGCAGCCAAGCCCTTCTTTCCACTCACACAGCCACCAACCTTAGTTTAAGGCCCTCACTATTTCTTGCCTAAATTATTACAATGGTTTCCTATGCGGTCTCCCTGCCTCAAGAGACTTCCCATTTAAGCCCATCCTCCTGATTGCTGCAAAAGTAATTTTACTTAAACACAGATCTGACCATGTGACTCTCAAATCACCTAACCTCTGTTTGCCTCAGTTTACTCAACTATAAAATGAGGGTTCTAATAGCACCTACTTTCCAGGGTTAGAGACAGAGAGGAGAGAGAGAAGTTTAAAAAAAGGTTTTTAACCTTAAAGTACTGTATAAATGCTAGCCATAATTATAAATGCCAGGCATGATTATTACTGATTACTTTAGAGAGAGCCATTTCAGTTGAGAAACAGGAGTGAATGAAAGAAGAGGAAGTAGAGACAGTAAACATAGACCGGAAATTTAGCTGAGAAAAAGAGAACTGATACAGGATGATATAAGCTGAGGGATCTAACGAAGTTTTTAAAGTGTAATTAAAAGTGTAATGGTCATCTCATTGTCAGAAACTGGAGGAAAGGAGGAGAGAAGAGATGATGCCAAAGGGTTTTAAGATAATGAGAAAAAAGATTTCCTGCTAAATGGCCTCAATTTTCTCAGTAAAGTAGGAGGTGGGATCCTCAGCTGAAAGTGGGGGAAGACATAGGAGAGAAGAAAAGGTTTGGAAGAGCTTCTTGGGGGAGAGAGATAGAAAATCACTTAAGGAGGAATACAAGTATTTGTGGCTGCAGTGAGAACCCAGTTCAAAGTGGATAACATTTTACAGTGTCTTTGATTGTAAACTAGGACACTTGTGTCGCCTAAACACATCCTCAGTCTCGTCCTGACTCTCTGTCTTTCATGATTACACTCACTCAGCCAACTGCTTTCTAAACTCCCCATTCTAGAGCTGGGAGTGGGACGGACCATAATGTGAATGAAATAAGAGGGAAAGAAAGAGGATTACGGGAAGGAAAGGAAGGGCATGTCTGCCAGGATCATTCCTTGCTTTCAGTTTCGTTTCTCTCTAGAAAGTAATTCCGTTGCGAGGTTGAAGAACTGCACTAATGATTTTAACAGCAGACTATCAAAGAGCCCAGCCCAGCTCGAGCCTGTTTTTGTCCCACGTTGGCCCCTTCGTACCATTCCCAGGCTGTGCTTCAGAGAATCTCCCACCAGAAAAATCTTTAAAAGGACCATTTCTCGGACTCTCAGTCCAGCTCTCCTCCTCCTGCCCACACCTACCTTCAGATCTCCTAATTCTGGGTCAGGTTTTCCTGTCAGCATCTCTTTGTCTCCCAAACTCACTGGCAGCATTTGGTTATAACTCCTCTCCTAGAAGGCTGGACGCTTCAATGCATCCCGCTGAGTAAATAAATGGGCTTTAGCTGCAGGGCTTTTCTCTGTGTAACGTCATTGAGCAGGGGGCGGGACAAAGAGAGGGTTGGAGAAATGAGAAAGGCAGACAGGAAGAGCAAAAAAACTGTCTTAGGACCTGGCATGCAAGGTCTCGCCCAGAAATAATGGAGTTTTATCTGAGTTTGAGGTCCAGGGAAAGCTCTCTAGGTGGAAAAGTCCTACATAACCTTGACCAATCAATAATAACCAACTTGAACTTTTAGCCTCTCTCTGCACAGAACATAGTAAATGAGCCTCAGGACGTGCAGCTTTGCCCAATGTACCTTACTCTCAAACATCACCCCAAATCCTACTGCCTTGAGCCATTAATGGTAATAATGGCACACATTTGTATAGCGCTTAAAGTCTGCAAAACACACATTTGATCCTCACTACAACCCTGTGATATAGGTATTATTAACAGCCCCTATTTCTAGATGAGACAGAAAAGTCAAGTAACTTGCCTAGGGCTGCAGGTAGTAAATGCTTCCCGTGAGTTTCAAAAAAATCAAATTCTGATTTGGAATTTGAACCCAAGTCTTTCTGACTCTAAGTCCAGAAACAGAGACATAGACTACATTTCATGTCTACAAGTTTCTACCATGTGTCCAACATTGGTCTGCATGTGGGGAAGTGGGTGGCTCTGGCAGAAAGAGGTCAAGTCTAGTCCGTGACTATATTCTGACCCCCAGGATAACACCATAAATAGTGCCCCGACTCATTCCATTAGTTGGGGAGGTGGTAGATGGAAATCTCAGGAAGCAACCTCCAGACCTTGAGACACAGGGCTGAAAGAAAGGAAACACCTTGGGCTAACTCAAGGCTGCTGCTGGGGATTCTAGTAGGGCTAAAGAGGGAGAAGGGCAGAGACAGACTGGGACAGAGCTCACCTACGATGCAGAAGGCCTTGGGCTCCCAGAACATGCCTTTTTTGACAGTTAAAGCCTTGAACATTGGGGACCAACCCATCTTTCCAGATTTTCTTGCCTCTGTACCTTTGTAGACATTGTCCCTGGTAACTGGGGCGCTTTCCCTCCTAACTCGCAACTCTTGGAATTTTGAGATCCATCAAAGACTCAGCTCATGTGCCATCTTCTACCTGAGGGCTTTCATAATTCCCCCCAAAAAATGTTAGGAATAGCCTCCCTCTAAGGTACTTTGTATTTACTTGGTCTGTATATATCTGCCCATATAATTATATGTTGTTCAGGTATTTACATGTATGTTCATGTTGTCCCAATATTCACATATGTGTTTGTATGTTGTTTGTGTGATTTACATATATGCTTTGCGATGTTCAGATATTTCTTTATATGTATGTGTTGTTCAGATATTTACATATATGTTTATGTTGTGTTCAGATATTTACATATATGTTTATATGTTGTCCAGCTATTTACATACATGTTTGTGTGTTGTTCGGATGTTTACCTATATGTTTGTGTGTTGCTCAGATATTTACATATATGCTTATGTGTTGTTCAGCTATTTACATATATGTTTATGTGTTGTTCAGCTATTTACATATATGTTTATGTGTTGTTCAGATATTTGTCTATATGTTTATGTGTTGTTTTCCTCAGTAGAATGAATGTTCCTTGAGGACACATGTTATTTTCATTTCCATGTTTCTATTCCTAGGGCCTTGTAAAACCCTGTCCTGACCCATGGTAGGTGCTTAATAAATTCTTGTAGAATTGAATTAAATTGTCTGATCTCCTTATTATACTCTAAAGAATAGGTTAGGAAGTTAGTGGAAACAGCTAGGGATGCAGTGGATAGAGCACCAGGCTCAGAGTCAGGAAGGACTAAGTTCAAATCTAGCCTCAGACATTTACTACTTGCATGCTTCTTTGACCTTTGCCTGCCTCAGTTTCCTCATCTGTTGAATGGGGATAATAATTTCACCTACTCCCTGGGTTGTTGTGAGGAGATGAGATAAGGATAAAGTGCTTTGCTAATTTTAAGGAGCAGCATAAATGCTGGCTATCATCATTATAAGCCAGCAACCACAACAGACAAGAGGAAGAAAGCCCACATTCAAAGCTTATTCTAGTGAGGTTTACTGAAGAATAGTCTTTGTATGGCTTGTGGAAGCCTCCAAGGGATGACCCACAAGGACTATGGCTGTTCATTTCATCTAGATCTCAGGTTGAGCCTTTGCCAGTTCTGGAGTAACCCAGGTGCGTTTGTTCTCCCATCAGCACATGAACAGGGCAGCACCCCCAAAAATCAACCCCAACCATCCCTGTTTATACAGGAGATGCACATTGATAATGATATCTGATATATATAGATATATAGATATGTATCAATAATTTTTTTTCCTTTTTTTCCCTTCAGTTCTCAAAGGTTCTAGATCAGTGGGTGATTAATGGAGGAGTCAGATTTCATTTGTTGCCCCAGCTTACAGAGCTGCCCTTGGGGATAGTGAAGCATTATAATTGGTTGAGGGGACAAAAAAGGGAGAAAGGAAAGTGGGGGAAGGGGAAGAGTTTGACACCCCAAGACTGACATTGCAAATGTATTGTTCGTGTCACCTAAATTGAAATAAGAGCCTTCTTCCCTCCACTCCCTTTTCAGTTTTTTTATGTGTTATCCTCTCCTATTAGAATGTAAGCTCTTTGAGGGTAGAAATGGTCTTTATTTTTGTTTCTATTTGTATTCCCACCACCTAGCACAGTGCCTGTAAATGCTTAATCAATACATGATATTTGGGGGTTTTTCTCTCTCTATCTCTTTCTCAACTTTGAACACACTCAGAAATTTTTCCAGAGTACATTGGTTCAGTCTTCCATATGTTAGGTCATTGGGAATTTAGATAAGAGGCTTCTGGGTTAGAGAATTAGGCAGTTAGCAAAAGAATAAAGGCAAGATTTACTTTATTAATGGCCTAAATTTCAAACTTAACTCTTTACTTTCCCAAATCAGCAACCAGACTCCAAAGGTATAGCAAACGGGTTAACTTTCCCTCAGAGTATTTGTCTATGAGATGGATCAGTAAAAAAGTACTAGGGATAAAAAGAGGCCTGATAACAGTGCACTCAAGATTATACCCTACTAAGCTAATATAACATGCAGATAAGTTAATACAGGACAGCTGGAGAGAGAGTATAACTTTTAAAGGAATTCAGGAAAGACTTGGAGTAGGAGGTGGTCCCTGAGTTGGAGTTCTTGAAAGATTCTAAAGCTATACCACATGATAAACATTTATTAAGCATCTATTATGTTCCAGGCACTAAGGTAAGTGCTAGGGACCTAAAAAGAAAAAGAAAAACAAACCCTGCCCTCGAGGAGCTTACCATCTAATGGGGAAAGACAATACACAAAGGAAGTTGAAAAGGGTAGGGGAAAGCAAATAGAGCCACAAGAGCAAGGAAGATGAAGGTGAAGTTGAAACCAAGAAGATCCGATAGTGGCAAATGAAGAGATAGCTGGTATTTTTGAGCCTTGTTTAAAGGGAGGAGATGGGGGAAGTTTTTTGTTCTACCCTCCAGGCAGAAGCAATTGGAGATATTTATGAGGTATGAGTAGTAAAGAAGCCAAGTCTATGATGACAAGTTCCCAGGTGCTGAGTTTATTTCATGGTAAGTTTGTCCTGGGTGGGGCATGATGAAAATGCCAGTGGCATCGAAACCAAGTAGAGTAGCTGGTGGTAAATGAAACCCATAAGGCACAGCTCTAGAAAAGGCACAGAGATGAAAGATGGAACCTTGATTTGGGGCAACATGGGATATAGAGCATGGTGGATGGGGAGTATTAGAAACCAAGTCTGAAAAGGCAAAATTGTGGAGAATGCTTTTGGTTGGGGTGTGAGGAAGTGTCAAAGGAGACTGAGATTGTGAAACTGGGTTGGAGAAGGCACGGTGGTACCCTCAGCAGAAATAGGAAAGTTTGAAGGAGGGTAGGATTTTAAGGGGAAAAGATAGAATTTTACTTTAGACCTGTTGAGTTTGAGATGCTGACAAAATACCCACACGGAAATGACTAGCAATCTAGGCTTGAAGTTCAAATGAGAGATCATGGAAAAAATATATAGATTTAGAAGTTATCACCACATGCCTTGCCTTAGGAACTAGTATATACACTAACAACCTCCATATCACTTTCTCCAAATACCACACCATACTCCTACACTACACATTGCTGGGCACCTAAGAAGTAGCAAATAGATGTTGAACTCAGGTGAATCTACAATGGTAGTTCACTTCGTCATTATTTTTCCTCAGTGTGGCTAAATTTATCACTCCCAGAGCCCTTCCTGCTTGGACTTTGGTAATTAGAACCTCACCCTACAATATATGATGCAAAGAATGAGAATATTCAACTCTATGGTTGTAGATTGAAGGAAGGAATGAGGAAATGCAAAACAGAAACTAAATAATCAAGGACTGAAGTAGGACAAATGTAATGGGGGAGAAGTAGGTAGAAGTGTAAGATATGGATTGCTGGCAAAGCATGGATTGGTGTGAACCTTTGCTCATAGCAATCGGTATAAGGCAAAGTAATATTCCCAGGTTTCTTCATTCAGGTAGGTGAGAGTAAGAACACTATAGAAAGTCAAAGTAACCAATAGGTCATAACATTGTACGTATACATAGGACTTAAAGCTTTACAAAGCACTTAGCATTCATTAGCTCATCCAGTCCACTGCACTAGCTCCCGTACTCTGCCTGCTCTCAAACAAGACTGTTAAGGACTCAGGAGAAAGCATTGCCACCTGCTTCCAGATTGACCCTCACCTGTAGAGGCTGTCTACAGCCTGGACTTGGGCCTCGCTCCAGTGAGGGAGTTACTGATCTTCTGCTTAGATTCACTTCTCATTGGGTAGCACACACATCCCCCTTATACATGCCCCATCCCAATGATTCTGAACTCCAGTTGAAATGTACAGACCTCAACCTCCAGCACATATTTCTTCAAGTCTATCTACCTTAATACTCTGCCCCTCAACTCTCACTCCTGATCTGCCCACCCCTTCCATTGTGACCTTCAGAATGTTTTCTCCAT